CCGGTCCGGTGCAGCTCCTCCGTGGAGGAGCAGCAGAGCCCAAGCACCTGGCCCATCCTCTGCTGTGTTCCAGTTCATTAGCAGGGAGCTGGATTGGAAGTAGAACAACTGGGATACAATCCCACCCACATGGGATGCTGGTACCACAGGAGGCAGTTTAACCCACTACACCACAATGCTGGCCCCATCACCACATGTTTTTATAAATTAAATTTTACTGGAAAACAGTCATGCTCATTTTTTATGTATTGTTTATAACAGCTTTCCTGCTACAGCATTGTGAAATAGTTGTGACAGAGACTGTATGGCATTTTGCAGAAAAGGTTTGCAAATCCTTAATATAGACCATTGTTTTTCACACTGGTAGCTGACATAGACATAGGCATGACAGCAAGCTGGGAAATTCTTGCTTCGAATGAAATCTCAGCCAGGAGCCTAACACAAGGCTATAACATAGCAAAGGGTGGATGTGGTCTGCTGAAGAGTGGTGGGGGGGGAGGAATGCGGGCTGTGTCAGTTCCATCCATGACACCAACCTGTCCTCTTCATCCCTGAGCCATCTTTTTTTAAAATTTTATTTAAGTTATACAGGTTTCATTTTTTCATATATACAGAATTAGGAACATAGTGACACCTCCTCACCACCCTCCCTCCCACCCACACTCTAATCCCTCCTGCTCCCTCTCACATTCCACTCTTAATTTTCACAAAGATCTATTTTCAGTTTACTTAATGATCGTATAGTTAACCCTACACTAAGTAAAGATTTCAGCAAATAGTATGAAGAGAAAAAAGAAAAAAAAAAAAAACACTGTTCCTCAACGGGAGAGACAAGGGCTGTAAATAATCATTGAATGTCAAAATGTCTAATCTGCTCCAATACATTATATTTTAGGTAATCTATTAGTTACCTCAGATCAGGAAAAACATATGCTATCTGAGTTTTTGGGACTGACTTATTACACTAAGTATAGTGGTTTCCAGTTGCATCCACCTTGTTTTAAATGACAGGATTTCATTTTTTTTTTACAGCTGAGTAGTACCCCATAGTGTGTATGTGTGTGTGTGTGTGTATAATAATAATTTCTTTATCAAGTCAACAGTTGATGTACAGTGGAGTTGACTCCATATCTTAGCTATTGCGAATTGTGCTGCAATGAACATGGGAGTACAGATAACTCTTTCATATGCTAATTTCTTTTGGTTTGGGTAAATTTCTGGGAATGGGATAACTGGATCACATGGTAGGTCTAATTCAGATTTCTGAGGTATCTTCATACTGTCTTCCACAATGGCTGCACCAGTTTATATTCCCACCAACAGTGGACCAAGGTACCTTTCTCCCAACATCCTTTCAAGCATTTGGCATTTGTTAATTTCTGTACCAGAGCCATTCTAACTGGAGTGAGGTGAAATCTTACCATGGCTTTGATTTGCTTTTCCCTGATGGCTAGTGATCCTGGGCATTTTCTCAAGTATCTGTTGGCCATTTGAATTTCCTCTTTTGAAAAATGCCTGGGGTAGGCCCGCACTGCGGCTCAACAGGCTAATCCTCCACCTAGCGGCGCTGGCACACCAGGTTCTAGTCCCAGTCGGGGTGCCGGATTCTGTCCCCGTTGCCCCTCTTCCAGGCCAGCTCTCTACTGTGGCCCAGGAGTGCAGTGGAGGATGGCCCAAGTGCTTGGGCCCTGCACCCCATGGGAGACCAGGAGAAGCACCTGGCTCCTGCCATTGGATCAGCGCGGTGCGCTGGCCACAGCGCGCCAGCCGTGGCAGCCATTGGAGGGTGAACCAAAGGCAAAAGGAAGACCTTTCTCTCTGTCTCTCTCTCTCACTATCCACTCTGCCTGTCAAAAAAGAAAAAAAAAAAAAGAAAAATGCCTGGGGGCCAGCACTGTGGTGTAGCAGCTAAAGCCGCTGCCTGCAGTGCTGGCATCCCATGCAGGCGCTGGTTTGAGTCCCAGCTGCTCCACTTCCAATCTGGCTCTCTGCTGTGGCCTGGAAAGCAGTGGAGGATGCCCCACGTCCTTGGGTCCCTGCACCCACGTGGTAGACCTGGAGGAAGCTCCTGGCTCCTGGCTTTGGATCGGCACGGCTCCAGCTGTTGCAGCCATTTGGGGAGTGAACCAGCAGTTGGAAGATCTCTCTCTTGCTCTCTCTCTCTCTCTATCTCTCCATCACTCTCTGTGTGACTCTTTTAAGTAAATAAATAAATCTTAAAAAGGAAAAATACCTGTTTAAGCCCTTTGCCTATTTCTTAACTGGATTGTTTGCTTTGTTGTTGAATTTCTTGAGCTTTTTATAGATTCTGGATGTTAACCCTTTATCAGCTGCGCAGCTTGCAAATCATTTCTCCCATTCTGTTGGTTGCCTCTTCTCTATGCTGAGTGTTTCTTTTGCAGTGCAGAACTTTCTCAACTTGATGTAATCCCATTTGTCAATTTTGCCACTGATTTCCTGTGCTTCTGGAGACTTTTCCAAGAAGTCTTTGCCTACTCCAATCTCTTACAGTTTCCCCAATGTTCTCTAGTGATGTGATGGTATCAGGTCATAGATTAGGTCTTTCATCCATGTTGAGTGCATGTTTGTGTAAGGCATAAGGTATGGGTCTAGTTTCATACTTCTGCATGTGAAGATCCAGTTTTTCCAGCACCATTTTTTGAAGAGACTGTCCTTACTTCAGGGATTGATTTTAGCTCCTTTGTCAAAAATAAGTTGGTTGTAGATGCATGGATTGATTTCTGGAGTTTCTATTCTGTTCTACTGGTCTACAATTTTTGTGCCAGTACCAAGCTGTTTTAATTATAACTGCCCTGTAGTATGTCTTGAAATCAGGTATTGTGATGCTTCTGGATTTGTTTTTTTTGGGTTTTTGTTTGTTTCTGTACAAGATTGCTTTAGTTATTTGGGGTCTCTTGTGTTTCCATATGAATTTTAGCATCATTTTTTTCTAGATCAGCAATGAATATCACTGGTATTTTGATGAAACAGGAACCTCAGGTGCTTTTTAAGGTCTCTGATTCTAATGGTTTATATAACAGATAAAGTCTAGATATATTTAGATTCAAACTGAGCAAAATGATAAAAATGATCTTTCTGTTATTATGAGGGCACTTCAAAAAGTTTGTGGAAAAATGGAAGTTTATTTTGATGCAGAAAATTTTGAAGTCCATATATATGAATATTTAGCAAGGAAGCCATGCCACGTAAACTTTAGGAATTGGATAAACTAATGCTTTTGTTGAAAGTCTCAAGATTGGTCATATGCATGAGAAGGTAATGCTACACTTGGTAAGGCCAAGACTTAATTCTTGCTGTGGCAGATACTCCCAATCTCAAAAATGAGAGAATGTTTCCTCATTGCTGGTTTCTGTTCCTTTTTTATTACATATGGCCAACATCATTACATTATAAAACCCCTGAAAATACTTAATTTCTGTCATGTTTGCCCTTTCTAATTAAATTTTTATAAAGAAGAATCTTCTCTGTACACCTCCCTCTATTTTCTCCTGATATGGATATGTGTGCTGTGGTCTGTGTTTCCCCCTCCCTAAAATTCATACATTGAAGCCCTAACTCCAAATGTGTTGGTTTTTGGAAACAGGCCTCTGAGAGGAAATAGGGATCAAATGAAATGATGAGGGTGGGTCTCTCGTGATGGGATTACTTTCCTTACAGGAAGAAGCTTCAGAGAGCGTGCTTCCACTCCTTCCCTCTCCACAATGTGAGGGCACAGTCAGAAGGTGGCTGGCTGCATGTCGGAATGAGAACTCTCACATGGGAATCAAACTAACTGGCCCCTCAACCATGGATGTGTAGCCTCCTGATTTGTGAGAAAATACACTTTTGTTGAATCCACCGGTCGATGGCATTTTGTTACCAAGACACTGTATCTGCAGTCCCATTAGCTTACCAAACCAGTCTCTGACCTCCTCTTTCAACCAGATTTGCGAATTCACCTGTTACAGGAAATGTTGCTTCCCTGACTTCTGCTCAGTCCTTCACACTAGTGCAAAATCAACAGCCACACGTTGGCCAACATCAACTTGCTCTCCTACACAAAAATCCCATTGCTACGGTTCAAAATAAAGTTAGCTACCCAATTTCCTCCTCGATACTCACCTCCCCTTCCTCACTTCTATTAATGTCACCATCACCCTCCCAAACAGGTTAACAACCCTAAGAATCTGTTTTATACTCCTCTCTGCCCTGCAAAAACCAATCCAACAGAGGAGAATCTTGCAATATAAAGATAATGATGATGATATTTTTAGATGAAGAAGTTTTTTCAGAGACATGAAAAAACAATTACAATAACAGCAATATTTATTCAGTATTGATTATGAAAAGGACCATCTAGTATCCCATCTCAATTACATATTTTGTATTCATCTCATTTGCTCCACCTCCAAAGCCACCTTCCAGCTCAGACTCTGGTGACCTCTCCTCTAGACTCTTCCTGAGACTTCTAATTCACGTCTCTGGCTCCTCTGCCTTTCACAAGACATACAGATAAATCTCTAGGTGCGTTTCTGATCATATCACTCCTCTGCTCAAAAACCATCAGCTAGTGCTCCATTGTTGATGAATAAAGTCAGACACATGTTTCTAATTTCAGTTCCTTTGTGATCTGGAGTCAATCTACCTGCCTATCTTTAATTCTATTTCCCTTTTTATACTCAATGTGCAAGTTTAAAGGAGTCATTCAACTCCCTACTGAACACAGTCCTCATTTCCCTCTGTCCTATTCCACCTGCAATAGCTCCCTGAGCTTTTCTGCTTGTCCACATCTTTTAGATCAAACTTTACCTTTCATCATGTAAGAATCTAATGTGGGTGCTTCTGCTGGGCAGAAAACTTTCCTCCACAAAGTGATTCTCCTTGTGGTCCTGCCGCTTCCTGGGATTCCTGCGCCCTCTGCCTCTAGCTGGTAGGAGAAAGTCAGCATAGAAAAAGCAACACCACCTCCTATCACGGCCACCAGGACAGTTATCACTTACATTCCTGTTCCCCTCGGAGAATGAGTCGGTTGGTCCCTCTCTGATGCAAAACAGCAAGGGAAAAGTGTGATTCCTGGCTGGGCTGCTCCTTCACAGAGAGAACTCTAGTCCACACACAGGAATAGACGTGCTGGGTGGAGACTGAGCCAGCTCACTCCGATGAACGGGGGATGTCTTGCGTCAAAACCACAGGGGAAGTTCTGCAACAAAACCATAAAGGTGGTGTCCATCATTTATTGGTTTAGTGCACCTTTTTGTGCTAGAAATTACACACATACACATACACATACACACACACACAGGAAATTCAAAAAGTGGGAAAACGAAATTAAAAGATAAGTTTATTTTGGTGGAAAAGTTCTGAAATTCATGCATAACTTTCTCATAATCTTCATTTTCTATGAACTCTTTGAAGTACACACACACACACAAACATTAATATATATATTATTTCTAACACAGAGGAGAATCTTGCAACATAAAGATAATGATGATGATATTTTTAGATGAAGAAGTTTTTTCAGAGACATGAAAAAATAATAATAATAACAGCAATATTTATTCAGTACTGATTATGAAAAGGACCAGGGGCTTCATAAACAAGGTTACTCAAGTTTATAAGCTGTTCAGCAGGTTTTGAACCCAGGCTAGCCTGATTCTCAAGTCCACGCTCCATGCATTACCAGTGCTATCTTTCCTTCATGGTACACAGCTAAAATGCACATAACAATAGAAGCTAATATCCAAGAAGAGCTTCTTATTTGTCAGTCTCAATTATATGCCTTTTACATGTACAAGTATTAGAATATTTAATTTACAACATATTGTATTACAGTTATATGTAACACAATTATATGTAACTCGCTGTATTCTCACAGGGGACTACTATATATACGGGTCTAGCACAGTGGTAAAATTGGTTAAAACCCCAGCCTGCAGCACCAGCATCCCATGTGGGTGCTGGGATGGACACCCAGCTGCTCCCTTCCAATCCAGCTCTCTGCTATGGCCTGGGAAAGCAAGAGAGGATGGCCCAAGTCCCTGGGTCCTGCACCCACGTGGGAGACCCAGAAGAAGCTCCTGGCTTTGGCTCAGCTCTGGCAGTTGCAGCCATTTGGGGAGTGAACCAGCAGATGGAAAACCTCTCTCTCTCTCTGTCTCTACCTCTCCCTTTAACTTTTTCAAATAAATAATAATAATAATAAACAAATTATATGTATAGAGTGTATACATTTTAATTTTATATATTTTATAAGATATATTGATTTATAAAATATATACACATTTGCATACAGTATATAAATATGTACTGTGTATAAACACAGATAACAGTATATACATAGATATATGAACATATTCATCTGTTCACATCTGTTTGTGTATATATCTGTATTGAATGGTTCCATAACATATAGTTCTTATTTTCTGTGTATATTTATTTACACATATATACCCTTACAGAATTGTATCATGTTCTTTATAGAAATAGGGAAACTGAGGCATAAAGAGGCCAAATAACTTGTTCAGGAGCTCCTAGTGAGCAGTGGTCCTGCCAAAGTGAGCCTGGGGAAGCCAGAGCTCTTAGCACAGAGGCTTCCACCTGAGCTCAGTCTCTCGGTGTGCAGGCCTGCTGATGTCCTCAGACACGAGGCAGAGAGGTCACTGTCACAGATTTGTGCTATGTGCATCATTCTATTCCTTGTGTCTAAGATTGCCTGGCATCTGTCAGCAGCTATTTGTTGAACTGAATTGACAAAGTTCAGGGAAAATTGTTACCAAAAGTAAGACTAGAATTTAGACTCTGTGAGGTTAGAGGAGGAGCAACGATGCCTGCCAGAAACAGAAAATAGCGTGGCATTTCAAGAAGCAAATTAAAGTCTGAGTGTTTGGAGAACTTCTCACTGTTTGTCTTTCTGGGGAACTTGTGCGTTTTGGCAGCGGGCCAGGGCTGAAAGAAGTCCACTTCACCTCACCCAGCCCATTGAGAACCACCTCCAAACCCTCTTCTTCTGTGCTTCTCAGCCAAACAGTGCTCAAGGGCTCTGGAGACAAGAAAATGCTTTTCTGTTTGCATTGAAGGTTTCAGAAAGACGGATGAGGCAGAGTGAAATCTCGGGTTCTTAGCAGTTCATCTTGTATGTTTGGGACATAAATAAAAATGGGACCTGAGAGAGGAAGGTCTTGGAATTTTCCGATGAGGGAACTCGGACTCATAATAAGTAAGATTTGTGAGGGGGCATTTGATAACACAAACACAGTAGCTTCCAATATCCTGGATAATCCATCCAAATCAAAACCATCCAAATCTTACCAGTTTTTTTCCCCCAAGTAAGAGGAAGTAGGTTTTCATTTGGCTGTTTGCTTTTGAGGTTGTTAGTGCTTCTGTGTTTATTTTTAATAAACTGGTATTTAGACTTTCTGTGAAAATGAAGTATTGCACTTACACTTCGTTCTTCTGTTCCAAACAAATAGAACTGACAGAAATATAATTGTGTGTGTGTGTGTGCATGTTGCCAGAAATAAATGGGGAGGGGGGAGCTGACTTCTCTCAAATGAGGAACCGAGCAAGGACACAACAAGTGAGCACAGCTGTAGCCAGAGCTTCCCACCTCTGTGTCTGTAGTCATAGTGGGCAAATGGCTCAGGTCCCACAGGGTGACTATGATAAAACTTCATCATCAAAGATGGGGGTCAGGGCTCCAGTCACCACTCAGAGTCACTGAATGGATATTTAGAATTTTCCCAATTATGAAAAGGGAAAACAATCCCCCTGCCCACTTTGTGGATGTTGGCAAGTATCAGGCCTGAAAGACTGTGGAGGCCCCCACCACCCACTCATAATCGGGAGCAGAACCAGGGGATTCCAATTCAATCCCATCAAGGTGGCATGTACCAATGCCATCTCACTAGTCCAAGTAATCAATTTCAGTTCACAATTGATCATAATGAAAGGACTAAGAGTCAAAGGGATCACATAAACAAGACTAGTGTCTGCAAATACTAACCAATAGAATAAAAAAGGGAGAGAACGATCCAACATGGGAAGCGAGATACACAGCAGACTCACAGAATGGCGGATGTCCTAAACAGCACTCTGGCCTCAGAATCAGCCGGATCCGGCTGAAAAGCCCATGAGAGTATTTCAGGAATGGAAAGCCAAGTCACTCTGTCAACAAAAAAAAATTACCTAAATGAAAGATCTCCGCGAGTGAGATCCCAGTGGAAAGAACAGGTCATCAAAGAAGGAGGTACCTTTCTCTGAAGGGAGGAGAGAACTTCCACTTTGACTATGACCTTCTCTAAATATGATCAGAGTCGGTGAACTCAAAAGGCTTCCATAGCCTTGGAAACTCATGACTGGAGCATAGGGTGATTACTGATGCCATAAACAAGAGTGTCAATTTGTTAAGTCAACAACAGGAGTCACTGTGCACTTACTCCTCATGTAGGATCTCTGTCCTTAATGTGCTGTATATTGTGATTTAATGCTATAACTAGTACTCAAACAGTATTTTTCACTTTGTGTTCTTTGTGGGTGCAAACTGATGAAATCTTTACTTAATATATACTAAACTGATCTTCTATATATAAAGATAATTAAGAATGAATCTTGATGTGAATGGAAGGGGAGAGGGAGCGGGAGATGGGAGGGTTGTGGGTGGGAGGGAAGTTATGAGGGGAAAGCCATTGTACTCCATAAGCTGTACTTTAGAAATTTATATTCATTAAATAAAAGTTAAAAAAAAGAAAAAAAAGTTCAAAGGAAATTTGAAATAAAAAATAGGAATATTACTGATGCCATAAACAGGAGTGTCAATTTGTAAAGTCAACAACAGGAGTCACTGTGCACTTACTCCTCATGTAGGATCTCTGTCCTTAATGTGCTGTACACTGAGGCTTAATGCTATAACGAGTACTCAAACAATATATTTCACTTTGTGTTTCTATGGGGGTGCAAACGATTGAAATCTTTACTTAATGTACACTAAACTGATCTTCTGTAAAAAAAAAAAAAAAGAAAAAAAAGAAATTATCAATTCCCAACTTGACTCTCACTGGGATTAAACATGACAATAGGTCTGATCTGATTTCATCATCATTTAAAAAAAAATCATCTATTATTTTTCACTTTATGTTTCTGTGTGGGAGCAAACTGTTGAAATCCTTACTTAAGGTATACTAAGCTGATCTTCTGTATATTAAGATAATCGAAAATGAATCTTGATGTGAATGGAAGGGGAGAGGGAGTGGGAAAGGGGAGGGTTGTGGGTGGGAGGGACGGTATGGGGGGGGGAAGCCATTGTAACCCATGAGTCGTACTTTGGAAATTTATATTCATTAAATAAAAGATTAAAAAAAAGGAATATTTATGGAAAAATGGCAAGGCACAGTCATTACTTAACAATAGTCACCCTGAATGTAAATGGCCTCAACTCTCCAGTTAAAAGACACAGACTGGCTTAATGTATTAAAAAACAAAACCCATCTATTTGCTGCATACAAGAAACACATCTCACCAACAATGATACTCACAGACTGAAAGTTAAAGGATGGAAAAGATAATCCACACTCACAGAAACCAAAAAAGAGCTCACGTAGCCATCCTAATATCAGACAAAATAGAGTTTCACACAAAAACTGTTAAACAAGACAAAGAATGTCACCATGTAATGATTACGGAATAAATTCAACAGGAAGATGTGACTTTGATAAATATATATGTACCCAATTACAGGGCACCTGGTTACTTAAAAGAAATGTTAAGGGACTTAAATGGAGAAATAGACTCAAATAGAACAGTGTTAGCCTGAGACATCAGGTAAAAAAAAGATACAAAGGGATGCAAATTGGGAATAAAGAAGTGAAATTAACACTATTTGCAGATGCCATGGTTCTATATATAGGGGATCCAAAAGAGTCCATCAAGAGACTATTGGAACTCATAGAAGAGTTTGGAAAAGTAGCAGGATATAAAAATCAACACAGAAAAATCAATAGCCTTTGTATACACAGAGAATACCAAGGCAGAGAAAGAGCTACTAAGACCAATCCCATTCACAATAGCTACCAAAAATATCAAATACCTTGGAATAAATTTTACCAAAGATGTCAAATATCTCTATGATGAGAATACCAAAACATTAAAGAATAAATAGAAGAAGATACAAAAAAATGAAAAAATCTTCCATGTTCACAGATT